TTTAATCTGTTGCACAAAGGAAAAAGAAGCGTAATAAAGAAACAGGCTTCAGCTCTAAGAAGCACCGGAAAATCATTCCACGGTGGCACACGCTAATCTCCCAGCGTTACGTTAGGAAACGCCGCCGCCTCCAAAGGCTGCAGGATTATTAAGCATGTTGTTCTCTTAGAAAGCTGCTACGATAGAGGAATATCTGGAAAAGGAACGAAACATTGCAGCTAATATCAAAGGCTGTGAGAGACAGAAGTAGAAAGCAGTCAGAGGTTTAGAGCCGTGTGGTTAGAAGAAAGAGAACTCAAGGCAGGTGAGTGTGTGTTAATATTTCTGTTTATTGGCAAAGGCAGACAACAAAGAGAGTCTCTAAAAAGGACACGCAGATCAATGCTATGACAACAACTGACAGGAAACAGGCTAAACCTTTGTGGCACACAGTTGAACAATCCCTGCATCTAAAATGTTAACAGGTAACATACATGACTGCACTCATAGTGAAAGCTGCACTGAACTGTTGTTGGGTCTGTATCCAGCTTTAATGCATCACAGAGATATGCTGTTCATTTATAGGCAAGAGACGCAAAAGCAGGCACGATCTGATATCCTCGTGTTGGTGTTGTTCCCAGATCATCATGAAAATGTTGTTCCAGGATCAACATTGCAAGTGACCAATCAGAATGTTGTGACGTCATACTTTTGCTACTTCAGGAAAAACCGGCGTAAAACAAAAAACTGTAGTTAAGCTGCGAGAAACCGCCTCTGTCCGCCGATCAACGGACCCTGACCCTTTAATAAACGCTGAGCAGAACTGATATTGTCCTTGCAACATTGGAATTTCAGAAATGCACGAATGGCTTGGCGCGCAAAAGAATAACGTCACAACAATGTGATTGGTCACTTGCAATGTTGAACCTGGAACAACATTTTCATGATGGTCTGGGAACAACACCAACACGAGGATATCAGATCATCCCAAAATGAGGGCCGCAGCAGGTGAATGTTGGCCACCAGTCAGAGCTGTGTGATAGAAAGCCACCGTGCATACTCAGCTGTAAATAATGAACAGCTGTGGGCGGCAGGTCCATGTTAACTCGTGGCTACCAGGAACGCATCACCAGTTTGGACAAACTAAAATGTTCGTCCGAAGGAACTGATGGCATACGTGATGATCGCAGCCACAGACCCAACAAACACAGGAACAGCTCTAAGAAGATTAAACAAGACGTAGGTTTTTGAAACAGCAATTAAAAATAATTGAAATGAAAGCTTTCAGAGCTACAAACCAAACTTTCCATCCTTCAGTGAAAAAGAATAAAAGACAGAACTGCGTCTCACTGACATCGTTCACATCCGTGACAGTTCGGTTTAGGCTTACCTACACATTTGGTTTACTAAGGATGGTGGAGAGGCCCATTAGATCACATCAGGAGGAAGGGACAACCGGAAAAAAGAATAAATAGTTCTGTAGGGTTCCAATACACAAATACCTCGTGTGTGTGTGTGTGTGTGTGTGTTTTGGATGCTGGGTGTTGACAGATCAGGCTTGCAGCACAGGCAGCTCTGAAAGGGTTCATGCCTGGATGGTGTTTGAGTGTGTGAGGACACGAACATAAACTTGACTGTTGGCTTTAGTGTGACAAAGAGACACAGAGAGGAGATCCACACGGGGCCACGACTCTCTTCATGTGACTTTAGGCTTCTACATCTGGGAAACTGACATGAATAGGACAGGACTTTATTAATAATGGACAAATGTGGCTGATTTGCAAAGGGAAAAAAATAGTGTTCGAAAGGAAACAGTGGAAAACCATTGAGGTCAAACAGGAACTGAAGAAGGAAACACAAGAAAAGTAATGAATTCTAAATGTGACCGTGCACACGTCCAGAAACAGCGCTGATGTACCCAGAGTGAGTCACAGTGTAGCAACACGTTATTTGGAGGAACAGCGTGTGCTGCAGTCAGTGTGTGTGTGTGTGTGTGTGTGTGTGTGTGTGTGTGTGTGTGTGTGTGTGTGTGTGTGAGCGTGTGTGTGTGTGTGTGTGTGTGTTGAGTGAAAGCTATGTGATCTTTCCACACCCAAGACTTTCTCCTTCATGTCTGGAAAGGTGTGTGCAGTGTGTGTGTGTGTGTGCGTGTGTGTGTGTGTGAGTGTGTGTGAGTGTGTGTGAGTGTGTGTGTGTGTGAGTGTGTGTGTTGTACGGGGAGAAGGGAGGAGGTGCACAGAAGCAGAAGCACAGCGGGCTGACAGTCAGCATGGCGATGGAGGCGGGTTCTAGTCCTCTGAAGCGTGGGGATTGGGAAAGGATGAAAAACAGGGGCGTAGGATAAAAGAAGCATCATGGGAGCGGTAAGAAGGAAAAGTGTAAAAAAGACATTGCAGAAAAGAAATAATGAAACAGAAAGAAGAATATAGAACAACAAAGAAGAGTGTAAATATCACAAAACAGGGAGAAAAGAAGGAGGATAAACAGGAAGGGATAAGGAGGAAAAGGGAAGAAACCAGGTTAGTGAAGATGTCACAAAATCAACAATGAGAAAACATCTCGTCCTCAACTCATTACTGGACATGAAAAGATAAACGACATCCTACAGCTGAGTTTGTGTGCCATGCAGAAGCATCATGCAGCATCTCTGCGCACACACATCTGCATTTGCACTGTCAGGATTCAGCTTATGCTCTCAATCCTCTGACCCAGTTACCACTTATACCGCCTGCGTCCTTACCTTGGGGACTGCTGCATTAACAGTGATGGATGGAACCACTGTGCCTGATGAGGCTGATGCTGTGTTTACCAAAGCAGGAAGAGAACAGGTTTATCAGCCTAAACTGTGCTCCTGCTGATCTCAGTACAGATGCAGTGTGCGAAATCAGCCACCTTTTTATTAGAAACAAATGCATGCAAACACCACGGTAACACAAGTTGCCCGTGCATGCAGACAGTTACTATGGTCTTATTTACATGCAGACCGCTTCCTCCCACTGTCATCAGCATCCATCCTCACCGTGACTTCATCTCAGTGGATCCTACACGGGATGTGAATCAGCAGCGGTTCGACTCGCAGGGCGGCTGATTGTAAACTGAACGTTCACTGCATGCGACTGACTACTGGAAGTGCTTCCTTTGGTTCTTGTTTGCTTGTGTTATAGATTAAAAGAGCCACTCGATTTACCGTGGTGCCTTTTTTCCATCAAAAGCCCAAACTCACCGTTCAGACCTGCTGCAGCCAAGACGACAGAAAGACCAAGGAGTAGACAAAGAAGCTCTTGGAAAACTAAATCTGCAAAAGATGTTTGCAAAGCTGCACCAGTGGAGTTTGCGGCTACTAGTGGTGCAAGGGATCAAAACTCTCACGGTTCGGTTCGGATCACGCTTTTAAGTCACGGATCGGATCAGCAAAAAAAGAAAAAGGACAAAAACTGGAGATACCAACAGATTGCTTTCAGAGATGTGTGACTGTACTGTTTGCTGTTGATGCTCCACCAGTCTGTGGACTCCGTGCAGTTCAGAGGCTTTTGGAGATCAACACATGCATAATATTTATGTGGACAAATATTTGTATTAAATGAGAACGAGACTATGATTTTAACCAAAGGAATAGCAGCCCTAGAAATGCACTACTCCATTTCTAGGTTAGTTTATGATTACTAGTCTCAAGTCTTTTAAATCCACATTATGTTTGCCTGCTGGTGGTGGTCAGAGGGCCCGGGGGCGCCAGTGTCCGGCAGCCTCGCCTCTGTCAGCGCGCCCCAGGGTGGCTGTGGCTACAATGTAGCTGCCATCACCAGTGTGTGGATGTGTGTGTGGATGGGTGGATGACTGAATGTGGTGTAAAGCGTTGGCGTCCATAGGGACTAAGCGAAACGCTATACAAATACATCATTTTGTTCACTGTTATTCCTTTTAGAGTGAAACAGATAATAAAGCAGGGCATGCTTTCATCAGGAAATAACTGGCAGATATAGATGAGCCGGCGAGGACAGAGCTTAAACCTGCGTCTGTGTCATTTACTGTGAAGAGGAAGTGAATCAGCAGTAGGCTGGAGACTCTGCAAATACCTCCTCTTAGAGTCTGATTGGTCGAGAACAGACCTCCTCCACCCACCACCACCATATTTTCCCTGTGAGTGTAGAAGATGCAGGGATGCAACCCTTCACACTGTGCTGATAGAGGCAGCAGTGGGAACTGGGCTTTGCCAGTGAGGGACACGATACACAATCACTTACATACCCATGCATAATCCTTTCTCCAGCAAAGCCATGCAGAGCAGCACTTTATGGATCATCAGCATCGCGACCAAAAACAGCGAACAGAGGAACAGAAGTGTGTATGGGCTACTTAAGGTTGGGAGGTGGGAACAAAGACTACTCAGACTACTGGAAAGGAAAGTTTAAAAGAGAAAAAAACAGATGCTCTGATTTCCAAATGGAGCACACACCCACACACAACAAACACTCCTCTCATTGGTCTATTCGTGTTTGAGCAGACAGCCAGAGAGAGATCCGATAGTTCATTAGACGCTCTGTATGCGTTCCTCATCTCTGCTGCTTATTACTTCAAATGTGAGATCAATTTATTGCGATCGTATGCAACAGGACTGCTGAGCACACAGTGTGCAGCTGACGGTCTCTCCCAGCATTGCAAGGATCCCTGCTGATTATCAGCGCAACAATCTGACAACTTCCTGTAGCCACTTAAGACTCGCTGTCATGCAAATACATACAGTCTGATGTAAAACAGAAAAGCAAGTCTTTACTACTTTTTCTGTCTTTTTTCCAACGTTAAACTCGTTTTCTGCTCAGTTTGAGCATCCTGCAGATTTTAAAAAGCCCCAAACATCCCACACACAAACAGGTACACACAACCAATGAACGTGAAGCTCCAGATGGATGAAATGAAGCTCGACAGGCAAGTAAAGGTCAGGAGGCCATGATGGGTGGATGGCGACGACCAGCTGGCCTTTGCAAACAGACCAGCAGGACAGGCAATTGTGGGATATGTCTTACCAGGCTTTTGCACCCCACGAGCTTCCTGCTTTCCATTCTCCATTGCAGTACCCGCGTCTGCACACACACGCACACACAAACACGAAAACAAGCAAAGACATTACGATCCATCAGAGTGCTAATGGTTTGACCTGAGAGGAAATCAAACTGCACGGCGCTGCTCTGCACGGCGCTGCGCTGCGCTGCACGGCGCTGCGCTGCACGGCGCTGCTCTGCACGGCGCTGCTCTGCACGGCGCTGCTCTGCACGGCGGACATACGACACACCGAGTCGGCAATCGAATGGAAACCACTGACCCTGTCTTTACTGGCTTTTTAAAGGGCATCTGGATATGGCTGTTGTTCACTTGAGGTGCGTGTTTGTCTTCTGCCTGCCTGGGGCTGTGCTTGCTAATACCACAAAGGGCAGTTACGGTCAGGCAGGGGCAGGCGACGAGACGCATATATCGGCTGGTGTCAGGGGAGGATGCTGAAGGAGTGATGCTGTGTGACATGTGACTTATGAATTATTGACCTTTGTTTGAGAAATGTGAACTTCAGACACACTTTTACACAAGTAACTAAAACACTAACGACATGAATGTGTTGTGACGAGACTGACCAAACACTCTTAATAATGTCTCAGGAATGAGCAGTATGAGGACAGAAAGCATTGAGGCACCGCCGACCTCAGTCTGGCCTCATGGTATCAATAGTGTCAACGGGTTTCACCATAAAGGTGCTGATACAGCACTCTTCTGTGCTAACTTAGCTAGGGCTGCTCGATTATGACAAAAATGATGATCACGATTATTTTCACTGACATTGAGATCTCGATTATTTGACGATATTTATTTAACAATAACAATGTGTTGAATAATGACTTTAAAGATTGTCAAAAATAATATAAAATAGTGCAAATACTGATAACAGTGCAAATGTTTGCAATATAAGAAATCAATGAAAAATGTAAACATCTGTGTTCAGTGAGCTTTGCAGTGTTGCTCTGTGGTGCAGCTACACTGTAGCAAAGTTTACACACTGTGTCTACTTGATCCACGTCTGACTGAACCCACAATGTTTCCACACCACTGAAGGTTTTTTTACCTCTTTTCAACCAACAGCAGTCACTCTCCTCTCCAAATAACTTCTGCTTAGCTTTCCGAGCTTCCCTCGGGTCCTCTTAATCAGCGGTACCAACCCCCGGGCCTCGGACCGGTCCGTGAGTCGTTTGGTCCCGGGCCGCGAGAGTTGAGGCTCAGGTGTGAAATGTCTGGTTTTCAGGGTTTTTATCAGTGTTCAGCATTATTTTGTTATCGTTTTTATCGTTGACTCGGTTTTCCTGGGTCTTTTCATGTGGTTATGAATAAATCTTCTTTTTTTCGGTACCGGTACTAGTTAAGTGTGCCTATGCCAAAAGGCACACTTATTACTATTGCTCGGATTTATTGTGTGGATGCCTTAATAGGCATCCACACTATTGAGTTCCTGTTTCTCTTTATTCTTTATCTTTTCTTCATCTTCAAGTTGCTTCCGTACACTTTTCGGCGCTTAACTACTCCCTCAGTTTTCAGCCGATTTTCTCAGTTCAAACTCTAAACTGTTCTGCTCTTTCTGCTA